TTATTTATTTTGTTTTTCTTATTCATTTGTTTACTTCTGTCTTTTTTGTTTATTTATTTTTTTGCCTTTTTTATTTATTTAATTGCTTCTGTCTGTTGTCTTTCTTTACGTATTTTGTTTTTTTTATTTTACTTCTGTCTTGCCTTTTCTTATTTGTTTTGTTTTTTTTTACTTACTTTTGTCTTTGTTTATTTATTTATTTTTTATTTATTTTTTTATTTATTTCTGTCGTTCTTTGTCTCCTTTATTTATCTCTCTGTTTTATTTATTTACTTTTTTATGTTTTTCTCTCCCTTTTTGTTTTTTGTTTGATGGTGGTTTTTCCTGTCTCCTTTCTCCTGTCTCCTTTTTTTTATTTTTTGTCTCCTTTTTCTTTTGTTTTATAAATTGTCTCCTTTTATTTCTTTTTTTCTTTTTTTTGTTTGTTTGTCTCCTCTTTATATATTTGGTTGATGTTATTCATTTACGTTTGTTTCTTTTTTTTGTCTCCTTTTATTTATTTGTTTTTATTTATTTATATATCTATCTCCCTTTATTTATATATTTATTTTTTTTTTATTTTTTTTTTTTTTTATTTTTTTTTTATAGAGTATAAAGGGGAGCTGTGTTCAGAGAGAGAAGCCAGAGAAAGAGACATCCGCTACGACAGGTCTCGCTGCTCGAAGGGGTAAACCCTCGTTTAGGGTTTAGGGTTTAGGGTTTAGGGTTTAGGGTTTAGGGTTTACGGGTTGTTTATGTAGCATAGAAGGGTTTGGGTGTTTGTGGTTTATGGTTTTTGCATAGGTTTCTGTGTGGTGTGTTTAGGGTTTGTGTGAGTGTGAGGGTTTAGGGTTTGTATACATTTCTAGGGTTTAGGGTTTAGGGTTTAGGGTTTAGGGTTTAGGGTTTGTGTACAGGAGTTTTATGTTTTATTTTAAATATAAAGATAGACAAATGAGCATCGATGCAACAGAAGAAAGAATAGAGTTTGGCCCCGCAAGGCTTATAAACCACTCGAGAAAAAACCCTAATCTAAAACCCAAAGTAGGGTTTAGGGTTTAGGGTTTAGGGTTTAGGGTTTAGGGTTTGTATAAAGAGAGACAAAGCAGCAAAAAACCCTAAATAAATAAACCTAAATAAAAAGAAAAAGAGGACACAAAGCAAAAAGAAAATAAAAAATAAAAAAATAAATAAAAGGAGACAGTTTCTTGCTGCTGCTGCTGCTGCTGCTGCTGCTGCTGCTGCTGCTGCTGCTGCTGTCTCTGCAGGCTGAAGCCGTCGATGGAGACGCCAATGATCT